GGAAAGGATATGCTTGTGTCTCCACAGGTGATGGCCCTCGTTGGGTACCTGCCCGGTGTGTTCGTCCTGTGCTCGATGATCCTTCCCGTCAACGAATGGATGGTCCTGCAACCCAAGCAGAATGTGTGGGTGACCCTAGCTGAGATGACCCATCAGGAAACCTTGTGCCTTTCTCTAGCCAACCCAGAGAATCCTTTTTCTACCTGCTTGGTCGGATTACCTCTGGATAAGTGGCCTTGTCCAGAGTTCCCAAAAGTCTGCAAGAGCTCTGCACCAAAGATCAACATTGATAACTGGGACCGCATTTATGCATACCTACCTCAAGTAACAAAAGAACCTCAAGAACTGGAATTGCTAGGCTCAGTGGTCATGGATGCTTGTATAATGTTTAATTATACATATAACTCAAAGACGAGAGGACAGAATGTGAATGCCACATTACCAGTATATAGAAATGCTACTGCTTGGTGTAATTATACTTCTAAACATATTTCATGATCTTTTAATGTACCTGTTGCCTTACCTAGTGGAGTTTTTCTTATTTGTGGGGATAGAGCATGGGGTGGAATTCCATCTAAACTGAATGGTGGACCATGTAGCTTGGGGAGGCTTACTCTGCTCACTCCTAATCTTACCATGATTCATAATAAAGGACGAGAGAAGTGCAGTATTCATCAATTTGCAAAACAATGTGATGATCGGGTAACCTTTTGGGGACCCGGGGAAATTATAGCAGCATCAGCGCTTGCACCTGGGGTTTGCAGCAGCAGCAGCATTAAAAAAGTTGACAAACTTGGGATGTTGGTTGAGTAAGCAAACCAATGCTACTTCTATTGCTCTGAGTGGTTTATTAACTGACGTAGATAGTGTTAGACATGCCATGCTGCAGAATAGAGCTGCAATTGATTTTTTATTGTTAGCACAAGGTCACAGCTGCAATGAATTTGATGGGATGTGTTGCATGAATTTGTCGGACCATAGTGAATCCATACACAAAAGCATTCAGCTTTTGAGAGAAGGGGTCCACAAATTACAAGTTGATGATGGATGGGATTGGTTAACTAAGTTGTTTGGTAAATGGGGTTTGTCTGGTTGGCTGTTATCCATCATAAAAACAAGATTGCTGATTTTGGTAATTATTGAAGTTGTGCTATTAATGATGCCCTGTTTGATCAGCCTGTTGCACCGGCGGCCCGGGGCTGACCAAAGGGATCAGCAGCCCTTTCCCCAGGACAGAAAGCCTGGGAGCTTCGGTTTTGAGGTGCAGTTGGTGGCGCAGCCTGGGCACTCGGTGGGCAGCCAGAGCTTTCTGTGCTGGCACCTTTTCCCAGGGAGGAATCTTCATCCGTATGCAATTTTGGGCTTCGCACAGGCAGTTGTGAGGCAGGGCTGAAAACAGGAAACAACAGCTCTTATCGCCCAGAATGAAAGCCTGGAAGCTGTGACTTTGTGGTGCAGTTGGTGTGTCAGCCTGGGGAGTCCATGAGCAGCAAGAGTTTTCTCTCCAAGTACCTTTGGTGTGGGAGAAATCTTCGTCCGTATGCATTTTTGGGCTTCAGGTTGGCAGTTGGGAGGCACAGTTCAAAACAGGAAACAACAGCCCTTTTCCGCAGGAATGAAAGCCTGTAAGCTTTGACTTTGTGGTGCTGGTGGTGTGTCATCCTGGAGAGTCCATTAGCAGGAAGGGTTTTCTGTGCTGGCACTTTTGGTGTGGGAAAAATATTCTTTCGTATGCAATTTTGGTAGTTGGGCTGTCATTTGGGAGGCAGGTCTAAAAACAGGAAACAACAGCCCTTATTGCCAGGAAAGAAAGACTGGAAGGTTTGTCTTTGTGGTGCAGTTGGTGTGTCAGCCTGGGCACTCCATGAGCAGCAAGAGCTTTCTGTGCTGGCCTCTTTGGTGTGGGAGGAATCTTTGTATGCAATTTTAGGCTTCAGGCTGGAAGTTGGAAGGCACGGTTCAAAAGAAGAAATAACAGCCATTACCCCAGGAAAGAAAGACTGGAATATTTGGCTTTGTGGTGCAGTTGGTGTGTAATTCTGGGGACTCCATGGGCAGCAAGAGCTTTCTGTGTTGGCAACTTTAGCCTGGGAGGAATCTTTGTTTGTATGCAATTTTGGGCTTTGAGTTGGCACTTGGGAGGCATGGTTCAAAACAGGAAACAACAGCCCTTTCCACAGGAACGAAAGCCTGCAAGCTTTGACTTTGGGGTGCAGTTGGTGTGTCATCCTGGGGAGTCCATGAGCAGGAAGAGCTTTCCATGCTGGCACCTTTGGTGTGGGAGGAATCTTTGTTTGTATGCAATTTTGGGAGTCGGGTTGGCAGTTGGGAGGTAGGACTGAAAACAGCAAACAACAGCTCTTATCATCAGGAAAGAAAGCCTGGAAGCTTTGACATTGTGGTGCAGCTGGTGTGTCATTCTGGGAACTCCATGGGCAGCAAGAGCTTTCTGTGCTGGCACCTTTGGTGTGAGAAGAATCTTCATCCGTATGCAATTTTGAGAGTTGGGCTGGCAGTTGGGAGGCAGGGCTCAAAACAGGAAACAATAGCCCTTATCACCAGGAAAGAAAGTCTGGAAGCTTTGGCTTTTTGGTGCAGTTTGTGTGTCAGCCTGGAGACTCCTATGGTAGCAAGAGCTTTCTGTGCTGGCCTCTTTGGTGTGGGAGGAATCTTTGTTTGTATGCAATTTTGGGCTTCGGGCTGGTAGTTGGGAGGCAGGACTGAAAACAGGAAACAACAGCCATTATAGCCAGGAAAGAAAGCCTGGAAGCTTTGGCTTTGTGGTGCAGCTGGTGGGTCAGCCTGGGGACTCCATGGGCAGCGAGAGCTTTCTGTGCTGGCACCTTTGGTGTGGGAGGAATCTTTGTTTGTGTGCAATTTTGGGAGTCGGGCTGGCAGTTGGGAGGCAGGTCTGAAAACAGGAAACAACAGCCCTTAAGGGTCCCCAGGATTTTTTTGGCGGGGGGGTCCCCCAGGATTTTTTTGGGTAGTGTCCCAGGATTTTTTGGAAGGTGACCCAGGATTTTTTGGAGGGGTCCCCAGGATTTTTTGTGGGGTGTCCCTGGGGGGTGTACCAGGATTTTTTTAGGGGATGGGTCCCCAGGATTTTGGGGGTCCTCACCTGCCTGATCTCCCGACACCTCCATCCCAGGTCCTGGACCTTCATCCTCCTCCTCCTCAGCTTGGCCCCCTCTGGCCCCTCCCCCACCTCTCCCCCTCGGCCTCCTCGTCCGTGGCAGGGGCGGGGCTGGGGCTGGGGAGAGGGTCGGGGCCCCTCCTCCCCCCTCAGGGAGCACCCTCTCGAGTTCCCCTTTACTCTCCAGGATGTTCCCCCCGAAAAGGGGCTCCAGCACCAGCTCTGCCCCGAGGGGGGCCGAGAACTCCTCGGACGACACCCCCGCCATCCCTGGGGGTGGAAAGGGGGGGTCAAGGGGGTCCCAAAACCCCCCAAAACTCCTCGAACGGCACCCCTGCCATCCCTGGGGGGGGCAATGAGGAGGGCAGACAGGAACTGGGGGGTCAGGGGGGTCTCAAAACCCCTAAAATGAGACCCCCACCATCCCTGGGGGGAGAAAGGGAGGGGAAATGGGGGAGAAAGGGGGTCAGGGAGACCCTAAAACCCCCCAGTCCCCCCCAATCCCTCCCAGTTCCTCCCCACTCTGATGTTATCTGTCCTTCCCAGTCCCCCCCAGTGCCCCCCATTCCCTCCCAGTTCCCCCCACTCCCCCCAAATCCCCTCCCAGTCCCTCCCAGTGCTCCCAATACCCCTCTAGTCTCTCCCAGTCCCCTCCCAAACCCCCTCCCAGTCTCTTCCAGTTCCCCCCAATCCCCCTCCCATTTCCCTCCTCCCTATTATCGCCCCCCTCCCGTCCCTATGACGTCACTCACCGCCCGCTGACATCACTCTCGGCCGGGCCTGGCAGCCATGGCCCCGGGTTGTCTTTAAGGGGTCGCACTGTGATGACATCACGGGGCACGGGGAGGGCAGAAGTGACGTCACCGGGGCCGCGGCGGGAGCGGCGGGGGCGGGAGGTGAATTTGGGGGGGTTGGGGGGTCTGGGAGAGACTTTGGGGGAGGTTGGGGGGTTTTGGGAGGTTGAAGGGGGATCTGAGGGGGGTTTGGGGGCATCTGGAAAGGGTTTGGGGGAATTGGGGGGCATTTGGGGGGCCTGAGGGGGTGAGGGGAGATTTTGGGGGGCCTGGGGAGGGGGTTGGGGGGGACCTGAGGGGTTTCTGGGCCCCACTTCCCCCCTCCCAGTGCTCCCAGTCCTCCCAATTGCAGGATGTCCCTGACTGGGGGTCCCTGGGTCCTGCTTCTCTCTCCCAGTGCTCCCAGTGCCCCCAGTTTTAGAATGTCCCTGACTGGGGGGGGTCTCTGCTCTCTCCCAGTGCTCCCAGTTGCCCTCCCAGTGCTCCCAGTCCCCCCCAATTTGAGGATGTCCCTAACTGGGGGGGTCTCTGGGGGGTCTCTGCTCTCTCCCAGTGCTCCCAGTCCCCCCAGTTGCAGGATGTCTCTGGCTGACGAGCTCCTGGCAGACGTGGAGGAGGCGGCCGAGGAGGAGGAGGAGGCCGAAGGCTCCGAGGGGGGGAGGAGCCGCCCATCGAGAACGTGCGGGAGGAGCTGGAGCCACCTGAGGGCTCCGAGTCCGTCCGGAGCATCTCCAAGTTATGGGGCAGCAGAGCGGTCAGAGAGACCCCAAACACCCCAAACTCACCCCAAAAACAGCCCTGGAACCAGCCCCAAAAAACAGCCTTAAAAACACCTCTAAAAGACCCCAAAACCACCCTCAGAAATATTTGAAAAGCCACCCCAAAAACATCCCAAAGCCTACCCCAAAAACACTTCAAAAGCCACCCCCAAGAACATCCCAAAACACCCCCAAAACTCACCTCAAAAACATCCCAAACTGACCCAAAAAAACCCCAAAACATCCCCAAAAGTACCCTCAAAACCCACCCCAAAATCACCCCCAAAACCAGCCCAAAAACCCACCCCAAAAATGTCCCAAACCTACCCCAAAAACATCCCAAACCCCACCTCAAAAACACTGAAAGTGCCACCCTAAACCCACTCCAAAACTTCCCCAAACCCCCACCCCCAGAATCCCCCTAAATCCCCCCAAAACTCCCCCCAACCCCACCCAAACCA